CTGGAACAGCCTTTTAATATAAGATCTGCCCGTAGGGGTGTTTAAGTCCTCTTTAAAAACTCATTTATCTGACATGGCTTTTAACATTTTAACCGTACGTTGAGGTAGAGCACCTTTCTACCTCTTTATTTGACATTAAAATCACACATATGTGTGTAATTATGTTAGCTTTTTATGTTTATTTTTACCTGTACAGCACTTTGGCAACTTTGGTTATTTTAAATGTGCTCTATAAATAAAATTGGACTTGACTTCACAACCAAACAAAGCCAAGTCTGACCGTTTTCTGAGGTCAGCGTGGATTAGAGTTCGATTCAAGCTGCTCATCTAGAGAACGTCAGACGTTTAAAAGCAGGAAAGGGAAAAAAAATCCATCAGATATTTGAAGGAAAATCAATATTTTCCCACTTTTTCTGGTTTAAACTTTGCTTCTTTTGTGGTTTTAATAGTTGGTGGGAGAAAAGATGAATTAGCTTCAGCTTTAAAGCTCAAGAAGCAGACCCCCCCCCCACCTGAGGAACCAGTCTGGGTCCAGGAATTAGACCCCCCCCTCCTGTACCTCTAAGATCAGACTTTCCTTTCTGATAATTTCAGATGCTCAGAGACCCTGAACATCTCATGGTTTTACTCCTATGATGCACCTCTCCTCCTTCTGGGGGGCTCCCATGATGCACCTCTTCTCCCTCTTGGGGGCTCCCATGATGCACCTCTCTCTCTCATCAGATGTCAGACAGGAAGCTTTGGATCTAAATCATCAAAAAAAAGGGTTTAACTTCATGCATTTGGAAGCAAAATAAAAAGATTTTAACCCTGAAACGTGATTTGAAACCTCACCTGACCCCCCCCCCCGGAGGCCACAAAAGTTCAGAACCAGCCGTTAGTTCGTTTTCACAGTATTTTATTTGGCAGAAATAAGAAATAAACGAGAAAAACATAAAAACCACAGAAACACAGAAAATCCTCCATCAGCTCCACGTTTTAAGACTATAAATACCGGGCTCCTCGGCGGCTAAAATCTGGGCTAAAAGCCGGTCAGCAGCAGCTCCAGGGCGCCTTCCCCCCCAGCCTCCGCCCCCCCACGCGGAAGGACCCGCCCCCTCCCCCGCCCACCCCGCCCCGGGCAGAGCGCCGGTGCCTCTTCAGGGCGCCGCCCACGGCCGCCACCACGTCCTCCAGCGGGTCCTGGGGGGCCGCCGCCCCCCCCCCGGTCTTGGCGGAGGTCTGGAAGGACGCCATGCCGTGCGCCGCCGCGAAGCTCAGCGCGGCCTCCCG